TTCATTCGATGTTGGGACTGAACCAGATGCTCTTTCAACAACTTCAAAATAGCAGCTCTATCCTGCAACAAAGTATCAGTAGCTGCCACAGCAGTATTCCCTGGAATACAATGGTTCAAGCTGGGAGGGGTTTGACCATATAAGGCCTCATATGGTGTGACTCCCGTAGTGACATGGTAGGTAGTGTTATACCACCATTCAGCGAGAGATAGCCATTTGGTCCATACAGTAGGTCTGTCTCTTGCTAAGCACCGCAAGTACCCCTCAAGGCATCTATTAACTACTTCAGTTTGGCCATCCGTTTGGGGGTGATAAGAAGAACCCATACACAAACTAGTACCCTGTAATCGAAATAATTCCTTCCAGAATTTACTAGTAAACACCGGGTCCTGGTCTGAAATAATAGAAAGAGGCATCCCATGAAGTTTAAACACATTATCTAAGAACGCTTGAGCTACTGCAGTAGCGGTGTATGAATGGGTTAAGGAAATGAAATGAGCATATTTACTAAGTCTATCCACAACCACATAGATCAAAGTTTTATGGGAAGAGCTGGGTAACCCTTCAATGAAATCCATCGAAATATCACTCCAAAGCTTAGTAGGAATGGGAAGGGGCTGTAACAACCCAGGTGCTGCCACTGTTTCATACTTATTCCGCTGACATGCATCACATTCAGCCACAAACTGAAGTACATCAGATTTTAGGCCTTTCCAATAAAAACCTTGTTTGATTCTTCTATAAGTTCTCTCTCCTCCTGAATGCCCATCGGTAGGAGTAACATGATGTTCCTTGATGAGTGTGGTCTTTAGTTGAGGTGAATTACCCACTACCAACCTGGTTTTGTAATAGAGCATTTCATGCTACCGAAGAAAATGAGGACGACTGGTTGGATTCTGAGTCAAATCTGCGATAAGTTGTTGGATAGAAAGGTCTTGTTCCCAACTAGTTGGAAGATCCTTAACCCAATGGCAGAGGATAACGGAGAGAGCGGACATACTACTCATATCTTCCTCTCCTTTTCTGGACAAGGCATCTGCAGCGTAGTTAGATTTACCACTCCGGTATACAATTTCGTAATCAAAACCCATGAGTTTGGGAAGCCATTTTTGTTGCACGAGAGTGGTAATTCTCTGCTCCAGCAAGAATTTGAGGCTTTGGTGATCTGTCCTAATATGAAAATATCTACCCAAGAGGTAATGCCTCCATTTGGTAGCAGCTAGAACTATAGCCAAGAATTCCTTCTCATATGTAGATAACCCAAAGCTGCGGCCAGACAATGACTTACTAAAATAGGCTATGGGTTGTCCCTCTTGCATTAATACAGTTCCCAACCCCTTATCAGAAGCATCACATTCCAGCACAAAGGTTTTATCATAATTGGGTAAAGCCAATACATGAGCAGTAGTCATAGTTCTTTTCAATAGAACGAAAGCTTGTTCAGCATCCTCTGACCATTTAAAGGCATCTTTTTTAAGCAATATAGTAAGGGGTTGGCTAATCTTGCCATAGTCTTTTATGAACCTTCGGTAATAGCCGGTCAAACCCAAAAATCCTCGAAAAGCTTTCAAAGATTAAGGTCTAGGCCAAGTAGACATAGCGTCTATTTTAACGGGGTCTGCAGCCACACCAGAACTAAAAATAATATGCCCCAATACTCCACTTGCTACTTCCCAAAAGCACACTTGGACATCTTAGCATATAGTTGATGAACTCTCAATTTTTCCAAGGTTAAAGTCACATGAAACATATGTTTGGCCCAGCTCTTACTGTATACGAGGATATCATCAAAAAATACCAACACAAACTTCCTCAAAAATGGCCTAAACTCATCATTCATCCGGTTTTGAAAGGTGGATGAAGCATTGGTCAAGCCAAATGGCATGACCAAAAATTCATTGTGGCCTTCATGTGTTCGAAAAGCTATTTTTTCAATGTCAGGAGCATGCATCCGGATTTGATGGTACCCAGATCTTAAATCCAACTTAGAGTAGAATTGAGCTCCATGCAACTCATCAAGTAATTCATCAATCATGGGAATAGGATATTTGTCCTTGATAGTGTCCTTATTTAAAGCTCTGTAGTCAATACACATTCGCCAGGTATTTCCCTTCTTTTCGACCAAAAGGACTGGTGAAGAAAAATAAGACGCACTCTGCCTTATAACCCCTGTGTTCAACATCTCTTTTACTATTTTCTCAATCTCATTCTTTGAATATAAGGATATCGATAAGGCCTGATATTTGGGGGATGACTACCATCCTGAGAGGTATTTTGTGATCATGTGATCTACTTGGAGGTAAGTCACTGGGTTCCTGAAACACATCAACATAATCATGTAAGATTCTATCAAGATCCGAATGAACCTTATGGTCAACTTCCACAGAATTGGAATGTAGGCTGCAAAGATGAGCTGCATCAACTTCTCCATTGCCTTAACTTCAATTTGTTGTATCTCCACTGTTGCACCACCTCACAGCCCATGTTTTTTGCCAAATGCAGTGAATTCCATCTTCAAATTATGAAAATCCCATAACACCGGTCCCAAAGTAGATAACCACTGGACTCCCAATACCATGTCACAGCCCCCCAAAGGTAATAATCTCATGTCAACTGTAAAAATTGTACCCTGCATAACCCACTGGAAATCCTTCACCATAGCATTGCTTTGTAACTTGGTACCATCAGCTACTACCACTGTTAAAGGATTGGTGAATTGGATTGATGCTCCAGTTCGTTTTGCCATTACTGGGTCCAAAAAATTGTGGGTACTACCTGAATCATCTACTTGGAGGTAAGTCACTGGGTTCCTGAAACACATCAGTATAATCATGTAAGATTCTATCAAGATCCGAATGAACCTCATGGTCAACTTCCACAGAATTGGAATGTAGGCTGCAAAGATGAGCTGCATCAACTTCTCCATTGCCTTAACTTCAATTTGCTGTATCTCCACTGTTGCACCACCTCACAGCCCATGTTTTTTGCCAAATGCAGTGAATTCCATCTTCAAATTCTGAAAATCCCATAACACCGGTCCCAAAGTAGATAACCACTGGACTCCCAATACCATGTCACAGCCCCCCAAAGGTAATAATCTCATGTCAACTGTAAAAATTGTACCCTGCATAACCCACTGGAAATCCTTCACCATAGCATTGCTTTGTAACTTGGTACCATCAGCTACTACCACTGTTAAAGGATTGGTGAATTGGATTGATGCTCCAGTTCGTTTTGCCATTACTGGGTCCAAAAAATTGTGGGTACTACCTGAATCATTAATATAGTGACCATATTCTTCTTAACCTTTCCTTTAATTCTCATAGTCTTATAAGAGAAAGAACCTGATAGGGCATGAACTGAGATTTGCAATTCTTCTTGCACATTTTCTTTGTCCATGTCCTGCACCACCTCCTCAAAGACATCTTCCTCATCTTCACCTTCGAGCATAAAGAGTTGCTTCTTCTTGCAAACATGGTCTCTGAAATAACTCTCGTCACATCCATAACATAATCCTTTCATTCTTCTCTCCTCCAATTCCTTCTGTGTCAATTTCTTTGCAGCAGTTACTGACTCCACAGGTTTTGAAGCTGGCTCCATTGATTTGCTACTTGTAGGAAAACCGGTACTGTAACTTTTGGAATAAACTCTATTCTTCTTAGCTAAGGCCTCAATTTTGTCTTCTTGTAACCTTGCTAAACCCATGGCTTGTGACACATTTCTTGGCCTAAACATCTGTACTCCTGCCTTGATTTCATCCTTCAAGCCACTTATAAAACAACTAACAAAGAATTCTTCTGATAACCCATTTGTTTTATTTGCCAATTCTTCGAATTTTCCCTGGTAGATTTGGACTGTTGATATCTGTCTCAATTTCGATAGCTGTCCTATGGCATCATCAAATAGGCTATCTCCAAATCTATCAACTAGGGCCCCAACAAATTCCCTCCAAGATCTGAGAACATGGGTCTTTTCATACCATCGAAACCAATGAATAGCCCTATCCTCCATGTGTATTGAAGCCAATCGCACTTTTTGTGTTTCATCGATCGGATTAAATTCGAAAAACTTCTCACATTTGTATACCCAAGCCTCAGGGTCTTCACCGAAAAATTTCGAGAAATCCAATTTGGCAAATCCAGTGTGCCACTGATTTGGATTATTGGTGGGTTCTTGTGTAGGAATGATCGAAAGAACTGAAGAAGAAGAACTCACCTTTTCTGCGATTTGCTCATACTTCAGGTTCAAAGCTAAAACTAGATCCTTGATTCCAGCCATGGCTTCGGCCTGTTTATCCGAACTTTCTTTTAGATGCCGAATAGCATCCTTGATTCGTTTGATATCTTGAGATCGTGTACCGTCCGCCATTAACGAAGTGATTTGCCCAAGTCCAAAGAACGGTGGCTCTGATACCTCTGATAAGCTTCTAGCAATTAATCTCAAAATTAGAAAGGAAACTCAGCTTCTATTATTCAATTCTCATCAAACGAAAAGAAGAAATCTTCCATGGAGTTTTACAATAAGAGAGAAAAAGAAAAAAAAAGAAGAACAAAAGAAGATACAATCTCCCCTATCTGTAACTCCCTTCCCCTTATAAACCCTTTCTCATAATAGATCCTATAACAAAATAACTACCCCACACTCACAACTGCCTAACAGAGTAACTACCCACAACTGTCTAACAGAACAGTTCCTATCATATTGTCTTTGTTTGTCCCGTGGTATAGAGTAGGGGCAACGGCCGAAAATCAACTCAGTGGGTTCGTTTTATATGGCAGCCATAATCATTGATTCATTCTAAGATTGGTAAAGGCTTTGTACTTGATTTGTTTATGCTTGTGCTACCTCTAATTTAAAGCTTATTTGGATTATTTTTTTGAGTCTTCTTCAACTCTATTTCGAATATTGTTATTTATTTATTTGGTGAGGTTTTTCCTCTTAATTATTTGTGATTATTTGAAATTCACCTAAGAGTGATTTTGTGAGATCATTTGTGTCTCGTTTGTAATCGTTTAAAAACTCTTTGGTTGATAGTGAAATCAGATTTTAATCCCATAGACGCACCTCACATTAAGAGAACCACATAAAAATTCTTGTGTTGCTATTGATTTAATTTTTCCGCATTTATTTTTATTCCTATTAATTAATTTACTTGTGGAAAATCGTTGATTTTCCCTAACAATCCACCATTGTAATTTGTAATTATAAGATGTCTCTCCATTCTCTGTTTTTAGTCTTTCTTTTCATTTCTTTTCCTTTTTCTCCCCTTTCATCCTTTTCCCACTTTCTTTCTCTGCTCTCTCTCGCTACCCTCCCAAGCTGGAAATGTATTGAACAACCTTTTAACAAACTCATTAACTACATTTGATAACCTCCTCATTAAAGACTTTCATGGTGTTTTAACATGTACATGACTAGAGGCTTCAATAAAAACGGGTTGGAGTGGAGAAAAGAAAGAAGAAAAAAATAGGAAAAAGATTCTGATGATTTGATTTGAGCATCATCCCGTCCTTAATATAACATGAGTTCCATTAGTTGCACAAAAATCAATCACGAAATCAAACACAACTTTTTCACATGAATGGAGGACCCACAAAAAAAAGAACCCACCTCTCCTATATGATTCCGTTATTGGTTTTTTGTGTTTTTAGATGTTTTTATATAACATTAATAGCTATGGTTCCTCGCAGTTGCAATTGCTGGCTTTGAAATTTGGAGGAGTTGCCTTTATCATCATGCTCTGAACAAACGATATCATCTACACAAAAAAATCAAGTCCACACAACCAAAATAAGGACATTAATAAATGACAAGGATACCTATTAAATACACACAAGTACCCATATACATTTATCAATGTATGTATCCTTTAAATTACACTGTTGGATTAGTAGGTGTGAGATCCTCTGATCCCAAAAGGGTGCCCAATCTACTGTCACATGCACTTAAATTTGCATTATTTGATCTATAGTTCAAATAAAATCAAATAATGTGATTATAAGTAATGGGATAGAAACACTTTATTTCAGAACAGAGGATTTTGGTCGTGATCAGTAGTAAGTTGGTTGGTGCTTCTACATACGGCCATGTTTAAATATCATCTAGTTTGTACATGTATTTGACCAATTACTTGTTGAGAGTGACCTGGAGATAAATCAATTGAATGTCGAGGGTTCAAATTACAAATGGGATCAAGGAACATGTGCTTCTATTGTCCCCTGGAGTGTCTATTCTATTGTTGTTCTCACCAGTGCCTATTAAATCAAATGAATGGGAGTTGCTATTGCCCAGCATGGACAAAGAACATAAGCAAGCAGCTTAGCTACCATGAAAAAGCTCTTACCAGAGTGAATCCGGCACACGCAATACTCAAGCCAGGGAAATTAAATGGAGCACTCGCAGAGAGGAATAAAGCTGGAATTCAAAGCGAGACTTTGTTAGTCTACATCAAACTTTCAGGCCTGATGTAAGTTCCAAAAAAATTGTTTACCTGTCAAAGGACTGAAAACCATGGGAGAAACAACATTGGCAAAGGAACATAAGCCTGAAATGCAACCTTGAGCCTTCCCCTTTGAAAAAGACGAGGAATAAAAAGCAAGAACAAAAAAAAAAGAAAAAAAAGGAACATAATTGATGTAAATAAGCAAATAACTGATGGGGAACAAGCAGGGAGGCCATATGCTGCACTGAGGACATGTTAATTAACACAAAGTGATGGTTGATCAACCCAAAACAGTCACTTTTTTTTTTTTACCTGCTCATTGGGGCCAACTTGTTTAGATGCAATGCTCCGTAACTGCACATTTTTTAGATCCTCTATTCATTAAATATGAGCTTCAAACTAGTCACAACACATGACTGAGTTTGTGATCAGATTTATAGAACTCACACAAGGTGTTGCAAATACAGCCAGAAGAGAGCACATAGCAGCCGCGTAAGGAACCTACCAGATTCCAATTGTTAGAGAAACTAAGAGGTAACACAAAATTAGGTAACCATCAGCAATACCACTACTGTGAAAAGGAAAAAATGTGCAAGAGCTTTTTGTGCTGCAAGGAAGTACCCAGGAAGACCATGCAATGCTGTATAGAAACATCTGCATTGAAGGCCATAAACAGTAAATCAAAACTTTGCATGTTTTGGTTGGAGTTTCTGAGTAGGTAAATTATGCAACTATAGGCAATTTTATTTGTGTGGAAAGGGTAATCAAAAGTGGCAAACTTAAACTGAAACCGTGAAGTGCCAATTTTACTCATTTGAAACCCGTTTAAACCCGTCTAAATCTATGAACAGATTTAAATGGGTTGCATCTTGCCAACCAATTTAAAAATGGGTTTAAATGGGTTGGACATGGATACCCACAGGGTTTGGATAAAAAACAAGTAACAAAGCAAGGAATCCACGACACAACTACCACTTCCACCTTAACTCGCTTAAACCCATTTATTAAATGGGCGAATTTGAGTTTGGTTATTTTAATCCCATTTTGACCTGCCTAAACTTGCATGTTTGCCACCTTTTGGTTTTAGTCAAACTAAGGTGAAATGTAGTGCAGAACTAGTGGCGTGCTTACTTGTGCACAGCTGAAAAATAGACCTATTGAAAGCAGCCTCTCCTCTCCTATGGCTGGAGCCAACATGGGCATGAGAACCATCTGCAGGATTGCCTTGATATTCAGATGCTTGCGTGCACATAAAAGGAGTTCAAAACAAAGCAGCATTCGAACAGAAATGAGATGAGACATAAATGACAACCGGAGCAAAAGCAGTGCAAAGCATACCTGAGATATGATCCCTGAAATACCTGCAATCACCATTAAATCGGCAAATTGGTCTTTGTTGAAGTGAAAACAGGCCTTTAAATAGTACTGCACAACATTGGTGGAATTCAACAATTCAGTGGAAACATAGAAGGGGGAAAAGCATACATATTTCAAAATATTTAATGTAACAATACAATGAAAAGTACCATTAATGAAGCAGAAAGGCCAACATCGGCTAGATTGAGAAAGAAGGCAACAATAGCTGCCTGTGAAAATGTCAAGCTGCAAAATGATTTTTTTTACAAAAAAAAATCCACCTAAGTCAAAGACAAGAGGCATTTACATTGCTGAGAGATACAAAATGGAAACAACTAGGTTCTTATCAAAAAATTAAATTGGAATAAGGTTTAGCAACATTCAACCATTTTTTTTTAATTTTTTTTCTCTCACATTTCCCAAGAAACAAGCAGAGCCTGAACCTTAATTATACAGAGTAATGCGGGCAATTTATACCAGTTGTCCCTATAATTTGGTCCTTGTAATTTGAGTTGACTCAATTTTGACTATGAAGTTTTGACTATTTCAATTTGGTCTAATTGGTTCAACAAATAGCAATTTGTTTTTGGAAAATGCGCATATGAGTTGCATTCGCCATATTTTTACAGATAAAATTGTAAACTTGATCAACTTAGTAAGTTAATCTCAATTAACTCCGTAATGATTTTTCATCAAAAACCCTAACGTCGTTATTAATTGGAACAAATTGACACAAAATTTTGAAGGTCAAAATTAAGCCAATTAAAAATATAAGGACAAAAATGTCACATAAGCAAAATATAGGGTGTAATTTGTCCTAGTAATGCCACAAAACATAGGGTTTAGCAACATTCAAAAATTTGTTTTGTTTTTCTCTCTCAGATATCCCAAGAAACAAACTAGCAGAGCCTGAAGCTCAATTATACAGAGTAATGCCACAAAGATCATATATAGATATTTATTTGACTCCATTACCTGCTTCTTAACAAGGAGACAGTATCATCAAAGGAAGGCATTGTCTTGAATATTTTGAAATTGTTTTTGGAATCTTCATCTTCATCTAAAAGGCTAAGTTTTGCTTCTTCCTTGGTATAAACGCAGTCATCATCGTCTGTAATCGACTCCGGAAGGAAAACTCTCATGTATATTGTAGCTATCAGTGCTACTAATGCAGAAACCTGATAAGTCAATTCAAAATGATCTAGTTGATGAACCACATACACACTCATACATAAAAACACACACTCATACATAAAAACACACACACACACACACACACACACACTCATACATAAAAACACACACACACACACACACACACACACACAGAGAACCTGGAAGGTGGAAGGAGTGGAGAGGAAACGAGTAGAGAGGTTTCCGCAGACGAAGGCACAGGAGGTGATGCCTGACAGGATTCCGAAAACCGATGCCCGTCGATTTTCCGGAATGTTGTCCGCCTGAAATTACAGTAAACAAGCACCGTGAAATTATTTTGAATTTTTGCCTGTAATGCCACCAGGCTGCCCTCTGTTGATCACCATCCACATTTTCAGAGTAGCCTCTTTGTATTTATTTGTTTATCTTCATTCACGGCCATATCTACACTTCGTTTGGGAATATTTACAAACAAATGGGCAGAAAAAAAAAAAATTTAAAAATTAAAAAATGTGATAATTTATAATGGTCAAATTTAGAAATTTGATTATTTTAATTTTTAATTATTTTAGTAAGAGTATCTTCAACGGTGAATTTTTTTTTTTCATCACATTTGAGTAAAAAATGACTCATTTTCTCAATTTGATATCAGTTGTTCCAATGGTTCATTTTCATCAAATCTACTCCGGGGACAACCGGTTGGTTGACCGGCCGGTAGACCGATAAGGGGAAAAAAAAAATTTTTTTTTTTTTTGAATTGTTTGAACCAATAAATTTGAACTTTTTGAACCTTTTAGTGGTCGACCGGTAAGGCAAAATTTTTTTTTTTGAATTGTTTGAACCTATAAATTTGAACTGTTTGAATCTTTTAGTGGTCGACCGGTTGATCAACTGGCTAGGCAACCGACTAGTTGACCGGTTCCTCCCTCCAACGGTCACACATAGTGATTTGCTGAAATCTGTATTATGTCCTCACTTTGATGATTTGTTTGATGAATTCTCAATTTAATATCAATTTAGTGAAACTGTTGGAGCATGAAAAAATATTTTTTTCACCAAATTTTAAATTTGATGCCAGGTTTGGTGAAGCGTTGGAGATAGTCTAAATTATAATTTTTGTGTCTAGAAAGACGAGTAGATATTTTTTTTATAGTTTGATGTGATGTTTATGAGTAAAAAAATAAAATAATTATGAATTTAATATAAAAAATTATTTTATTAATTATTTTAATCTGTTTTATCTTTTTATAAATTTTAGTTTAAAAAAATCAAAAATCCACTTACCAAACATGTCATAACTTTCTAATTTTATAATTAAAATGCTTAGTTGCCAAATGAAAACTTCCAAAAATTCATGCGGCGGAGGAGAGGAGGGCACCACTTTTCTTCCACCCTAAAATTTTTCTATTTTGTAATTAATGAGAGCGGCTCCGATCCTTTCTTCTTCTTCTCCTTCCTCTTTTTATTTATTTATTTTGTTAATATTAAATTTGAAATAAAAAATTAATTATAGATTTGATCTGATATAGAAGACTTCAATTCTTCTTCTTTTTTTTCCTTTAAATCTTTTTGAAAAATCCTAAACTTATACTAAAAATTTATTTTAGCAATTTTTTTTGGAAAAAGAAAATCACCATCCTTATTGTTATTAAAATTTCATCAAATTTGAATAAAAATATGAGCGTTGAAAATTTGTCGAAAAATTTGATTCATTCTTTTGGTGAAAAAATTACATCTGCCTCTTCCTTAATTTGATATAGATTTGATGAAATGGTAGCAAACACTTCTAGTCTTTCTTTTTTCTGTTTTTTTTTTTTTTTTTTTTTCTAATCAAATTTCAATTTGGAGATTGTCTAAAATAAATAAAGGTTCTTGAAATTCAAGGGCTAATTGTTTTGAAATCGAAGATAGGTAAAAGGGTCTATGTGAATTTAACAAGTAATTGACAGATAACAAAAAAGTACTGAAAAACTCACGATATAAGCAAGGGCAAGGCAATAGACGGTTCCTTCACAAACCATGGCAGTGAGAGTCTTGACCACGTAATATGCATAGAAATAATCCTTCGTCCTGCTATATGCCAATATGGCTGTAACCAAAAGTTAGTACCCTCATAAACTGAACTCAACATCAATGCATAAACATCAATACATGGTCTAGATTCATTCTGTACTTTCGAATTATGAGCAAATTTTTTGGTCATTTTCCTGAGACGGTTTAGTGTAATGCAAACAGTTGGGGGAAGTGAATGTCGGCAGGCATTGAAGAAAGGTTTAAAGGAAGGAAGTATCACACCAAGGGGAATGATGGTGAGACTCATGGGGAGAGTGAGCATAGCTTTCCTTCCATAAGTGTCTGAGAGATTCCCTATCAGAGGCATAATCACCAGCGTTCCCAATCCCATAATCTGCATAAATTCACGACTCTCAAATTCAGATAAAAGTGTGTATTTTTTTCTTTTTTTTTGGTCCAAAGATAAAAGTGCTCTCAAATAGTCAAAAAGTGTCATGTTTTTCAAATTATTATTCAAAAATGTTAGAGGTCCTAAAAATTCTATCAAATGTCTCACATGGGTGTGGGATCCACATGGGACCCATATTATGTGGACATTTGATAAAACTTTTAGTAAAATATTTAGAGTCTCTAGCATTACTCATTATTGTTTTTCCCTTATATTTGAAACTGTTGTTATGCAAGACCCACACAAACTAACGATATCATCAATCGTGTATGGCTATGATTAATGCGAAAACCGGTTAAGAATAGTTGTAATAACAGGTCTAAATTGTGAGATTGACAGACAGACGCAATATTTAAAATTTTCACTTGCTATTAAGTTACCCTCAACTAATACATCACGTCAAGCGTTGGTGAAGGTGAAAGGAGGGTTGAATTTTGGGCTTCCTTCTATAGGCTGGGATATCAAATTAAACATATAAGTGAAAGGACTAGATTGTCCCCATTCCACACACATTGGATTGGACTAGTCTAGTCCGAGCCCGTGATCCGGTATAATCGGTCTTTCTTTTGATAATTTGTTTCGTTAATCTTTTAGACTCTTATGTTTAAATCATTCACGAAAAAAATTAAATTAATCTAATAATTATCAATATCAAACTAGTTAAAATTTTGTTATATTTTAACTTAAAAGTTAACTTTTTTATTTTTGTTTTACATCTTTCAAATCTATTATTTTTTTTATACTATTTAAATATTATTTTATTCATTTTAATTTGAAATTATTTTTTATAAACTCAACACAATTAATTTCAAAATATAAAAAGTAATACTTTTTAATAGAGGCAAAATTTAATAATTTATTCACTATTTTAACTAAAAAATAAAAATAATTAGTTTGGTGGAGATGCTCTTATATAATTTCAACATATTTGTGTTAAAAAAATGGACAATCAATTTTCAAATTTGATACATGTTTATTTATTTAGACACGATTTAGGAAAATTCTAACAATCTGAATAACCTGACCAATCAAATTCTCTATGTTAGAATTTGAGCCTAACCTAAATCCTTTGGCCTGCAAATAAGGGGTGTTTTGAAAAGATGATTAAAAGTTAATTTTTTTAACTTTTTGTTTGCTTTTTTTTGAAAAAATATGTAAAAAATGTGAAAGATGATATAATTCAAAATGGGTTAAAAGTTAGAAAATGACTTTTAATCCACTTCCCAAAAGAGGCAACAGTCATTGAGCTCAAACTTTGACTTAGACAAATTCTTCTATACTTTGGGATTGGGCATAAAAAGAATCTCAATCCTATTAAGTTCTATGGGCATATTTGATTGACATGATTAGAGTATGGCATTGGGATAATTAATCTGTGAGCCCAATAATCTTATATTTGTTTTGAAGTTTTGTTTAAGATTTTTTAATCCAATGGATAATTAATCCAACAAATTTGTAGAATTATTAGTAAGGTAGGAGTGGGATTATATATTCTGAGTTGGGAAATAAAATAAAAGACTCTTTTATCCTTGACTAAAAATTAAAACATTTATTATTTTTATATAATTTTATATTTTAGAAGACTAAAAATAATTTTTAAAAATTTAAAAATATTTTTTAATATTTATTTTATCAAATTAGTTTGTATTTTTTAAAAAAAATTAAAAAACAAACCAAACATGGCTTTGTATTTTGTATTTTTATTTTGCATTTATTTATTTATTTATAGTTTTTTTTCAAAACTACGTTTATGAAAAAATTTTAATAAAGTAAAAATTGTAAAAAAACATTGATGAAGGGTAAGATTGGAAAAGTAAATAAATATAATTGTAATTCTACATTCATATATTTTCTTATCCAATGCAAATCAAACAATGTATAACATTTATCTTACTAATCCAATTAAATAGTAAATATTACACTAATTTGATGAGATTATTAATACCTTCACTATTAATTTTGTAAATCAAATATGACCTATGTACATTTTGCATATACATAAAGAGTGAAAACAACCATTTTCATCTATGGAAGCATATTGATTGAACGCCCGTGAAACGACACATTCTTTTCCTCAATGGCCCAGGTGCGTGAGGACCATATATATATATAGAAAAATAGAAGATATTTAACATGTCAATATTAACTTAAAAATTAAACACTTATGACCATGCAATTATATTATTATTTTTTTTTTTTTTTTTTTTTTTCTCCTCCAATCACCACCCATCACGTGTGTGTGGAGGTGGTAGGGACAGTGATTAAAAGGAGTCTCTATCAATGCTGATATATATACTGATATGATAATCCACCACAATAGTATCCAAAAATGCTTTTGTTTTGAAACCAATGGAAATTTCCTAATCAGAGCCAAAAGGAAGATCTACGTGGGGTTCAATGTAACAAGGTTGTTGCACGTATAATAAAGTTTGTCTACCTACATTATTGTGATCTTCACATCTAAGTTGAATAAGTAGAAGGGCAAAGTTATGTACACGAATTCGTATCGAGCAAAATATAAAAAAAAAATATTTAATGAATGATCTAGATTTATTTAAGATGTTTATTTTATCACATAAGAATTTAATTTCAATCATATATTATTTTTCTTGATATATTTTTATCTTAAAAAATGCATTTGCTTTTGAACATGGCAAGAAAACTAGGTATATATAATAATTCTACACATACTAATAATCTTATTAAAAAATTTACTAAAAATACAATTGGTCAAATGTGAATGGGAGGAGCACCTGCAAAAATAAGAAGGTTATTTATATAAAATTTTTATATAGAATTTATAGTAATTAAATAATATAATATTTTTATAATTAAATATTATTTAGAAGAGCACATTTTTTTAAATTGACAAGTTTCAATACAATTACATATATATATAAGCTAAAATGGGAAGCTTTTAGCTTAAAAAGTTTAAAAAGACAAAATATATTTTTTAATCCAATAAAATAAAATGTCACATCCAAATCATAATCATTTTATTTTTTCTCTCACAAAAGTCAAAAAAAATTTTATCAGACTTTTTAATCCCAGATTAAAAAAGTCAAAAAGTCAACTCACATCCAAATGAACCATAAATTTTTTGATTCCTCTATCACTATTCATTTAGAATAATAAAAATAAAAATAAAATTACACGCCCAACTACTCCGACAGTTGTGTAAATGCGCGTACGAATCAAATCGGTGTGGTAGTAGCATAAGATAAAAATACAAAAAAAAATAAAAAATAACAAAAAAAAAAAAGTGTCCAAATTTTGAATTATTAGTGTAGAATTAAGTTGGGTGTGGTGCCTCGACTATACTTTAGCCTTAAAAAATAAATAAAAAAAATTATTCAGTGTGTTTGGTTTGAGTTTTTTGCAACAGTCATTGAGCTCAAACTTTGACTTAGACAAATTCTTCTATACTTTGGGATTGGGCATAAAAAGAATCTCAATCCTATTAAGTTCTATGGGCATATTTGATTGACATGATTAGAGTATGGCATTGGGATAATTAATCTGTGAGCCCAATAATCTTATATTTGTTTTGAAGTTTTGTTTAAGATTTTTTAATCCAATGGATAATTAATCCAACAAATTTGTAGAATTATTAGTAAGGTAGGAGTGGGATTATATATTCTGAGTTGGGAAATAAAATAAAAGACTCTTTTATCCTTGACTAAAAATTAAAACATTTATTATTTTTATATAATTTTATATTTTAGAAGACTAAAAATAATTTTTAAAAATTTAAAAATATTTTTTAATATTTATTTTATCAAATTAGTTTGTATTTTTTTAAAACAAATTAAAAAAACAAACCAAACATGGCTTTGTATTTTGTATTTTTATTTTGCATTTATTTATTTATTTATAGTTTTTTTTCAAAATCACGTTTATGAAGAAATTTTGATAAAGTAAAAATTGTAAGGAAAAATTGATGGAGGGTAAAATTTAAAAAGTAAATAAATATAGTTGTAATCCTACATTCATATATTTTCTTATCCAATGCAAATCAAACAATGGATAAAATTTATTTTACTAATCCAATTAAATAGTAAATATTATACTAATTTGATAAAATTATTAATACCTTTACTATTAATTTTATAAATCAAATATGAGCTATGTACTTATAACATTTTGCGTATATGTACATAAAGAGTGAAAACAACCATTTTCATCGATGGAAGCATATTGATTGAACGCCCGTGAAACGGCACGTTCTTTTACTCAATGGCCCAGGCGCAGGAGGACCATATATACATACACTAGTGGGTGGCACACACGATGTGTGTGCAATTTAAATAAGTAGGAATAAAAAAAAATAATAATGAAATTAATATTATAATATGTACTTAGCTTAAGTGGTATGAGTCTTCGTACTTAAACCCGTGGTCATGGGTTCAAGCCTTGCCCATCTCTTTGTTTAACTTTTTTTTTTTAAATAAAACATACTGCCATGTGGCAGTATCTCTTTGTTTAACTTCTTTTTTTTAAATAAAACATACTGCCACATGGCATGAGGAGTTTTTTTTTTAAATAAAACATACTGCCACATGGCATGAGGAGAGTAAAGCAAGCTTCAGGACACCATATTATGTGTTCACTTTATAATAGTATAGATAGATATAGAAAAATGTATCAAATCTTATTTCCCTCCCATTCCCTTTGACTTCCTTTTTCTTTCATTGGTCAATTTTTCTTTTTTGTTTTATTTTTTTCTTTCTTTTCCAATCACTACCCGTCACGTGTGTGGAAATGATGGGAATAGTGATTGAAATGGGTCTCTATCAATACTGGTATATATAACTGATATGATAATCCAGCACAATAGTATCCAAAAATGCTTTTGTTTTGAAACCAATGGAACTTTCCTAATCAGAGCCAAAAGGAAGACCTACGTGGGGTTCAATGTAACAAGGTTGTTGCACGTATAATAAAATTTGTCTACCTACATTATTCTGATCTTCACATCTAAGTTGAATGAGTAGAAGGGCAAAGTTATGTACACGAATTCGTATCGAGCAAAATATAAAAAAATATTTAATGAATGATCTATATTTATTTAAGATGTTTATTTTATCACATAAGAATTTAATTTCAATCACATATTATTTTTCTTGATATATTTCTATCTTAAAAAATGCATTTGCTTTTGAACATGGCAAGAAAACTAGGTATATATAATAATTCTACACATACTAATAATCTTATTAAAAAATTTACTAAAAATACAATTGGTCAAATGTGAATGGGAGGAGCACCTGCAAAAATAAGAAGGTTATTTATATAAAATTTTTATATAGAATTTATAGTAGTTAAATAATATAATATTTTTATAATTAAATATTATTTAGAAGAGCACATTTTTTTAAATTGACAAGTTTCAATACAATTACATATAAGCTAATGGGCAAATTACATATATCTCCCTCGAGGTTTAGATAAATTACAGATATCCTCCTGAGATTTTGAAAATTACAGATATCTCCTGAGATTTATATTTTCATAACAAATTGCCCCCTGAAATTTATATTTTCATAATAATTTGTCCTCTAATTTGTTATGCAAATAGTACTTTCAAGAGGGTATCTGTAATTTCTCAAATCTCAAGGGAATATCTGTAATTTTGCTAAATCTCGAGGGGGGTGTATGTAATTTGCCCTTAGCTAAAATGGGAAGCTTTTAGCTAAGCCTCCGTTTGGGAAGTGGGTTGGCTTTTTGGCTTTTTGGCTTTTTTGGCTATTTTAGCCTGGGCTAAAAAGCTTGGTTTGGGAAGGGCTTTTTGGCTTTTTGGCTTTTTTGGCTTTTTTTGTGAGAGAAGAATGTAATGATTATGGGTTGGATGTGATGTTTTGTTTGTTATGACTAAAATAGCCTATTTTGTTTTTTTGTGGCTAAAATAGCCAAAAAAGCCTTAAAAAGACAAAATATATTTTTTAATCCAATAAGATAAAATGTCACATCCAAATTATAATCATTTTATTTTTTCTCTCACAAAAGTCAAAAAAAATCTTATCTAAGATTTTTTAATCCCAAATTAAAAAAGTCAAAAAGTCAACTCACATCCAAGTGAACCCATAAATTTTTTGGTTCCTATATCACTATTCATTTAGAATAATAAAAATAAAAATAAAATTACACGCCCAACTACTCCGACAGTTGTGTAAATGAGCGTACGAATCAAATCGGTGTGGTAGTAGCATAAGATAAAAATACAAAAATAAAAATAAAAAATAACAAATAACAAAAAAAAAAAGTGTCCAAATTTTGAATTATTAGTGTAGATTTAAGTTGGGTGTGGTGTCTCGACTATACTTTAGCCTTAAAAAATAAATAAATAAAATTATTCAGTGTGTTTGGTTTGAGTTTTTTAATTTTCGTATTCTTTTGTTTTTTGTGAATGTTTTTAAAATTTTAAACATTTTGTTTACTTTTTTAGATACAACTTAGTTAGATGTATCTAAAAAGTAAAAAATTTGTGAAAAAATATTTTAAAAAATTAATAAATACATAAAAATACAAAAAAAATGTACTGAATTCTTGTAATTTTTTTTTTGTATTTTTAACATTTAGTGAATTTTTAAAAGATTTTTTTTATAATTTTTTTAATTTTTAAGTGTATTTATGTTAGGTGTGTCTAAAAAGTAAAAATATTGCTTAAAATATTAAAAAAATTCAGTAAAAACAAAAAAATACAGAAAATAAGAAAGTAAAATTTTCTAAAAAGTGTTTTCTGAAAAATAAAAACAAGCAAGTTCATTTGTTTGAGCTTTTTAATTATTTGATGACTTTTCAACAAAAAATAAATTTATCAAATGAGCTAAATTTTTTTTTTTAAATGTACTTTTTTAATTAATAAATTAATTTTTAAATCACAATAAAACAAAGTATTAGAATAAATGTGATCCACATATTTTTTAATTAATACTATTTCAGATAATTTTTTTAAATTAGTTGAAAGAAACTTGATACTTAACTAATTGGACAAAGAATATATTATTTTTAGTTGTATGAAAAAACAAAAAACAAAATCAAAAATCAAAAATTAAAAATAAATAAAGGAAAAGAGTAAGGAAAAAAATTTAAAGAACATGAAAACGATCACAATCACACATCACATCACTTTCTAAGATATGGTCTAAATTTTTTTAAATTTCATGTGCGAAAATAATAATTTTCTAATACAAATAAAAGAAGAGAAAGAATAAAGGATGGTTAGAGAAGAAACATACGGCTTGTTGAATTCCGGTGAGATAAATGGCAATTGAGCACTCATCTTCTCCGGGACAAAGCGCCGACATAGTGACGTCAGTGATTGCCGGAATCACCATGAATATCGAGAAGTTGTACAGAAATATCGTCATTAACAGGTGGCTCACCCCCGGCTGCCGATTTTCCATCTCTCTCTCTCTCTAGAGCCCAGTATACACTTGCAAGTTACAGGTAATGAATTAAAGCAAAGAAAAAGAAGAACCACGATATCTAAGGAAATGACAATGGTTAGTTATTTATATACAATTGATGATGTCATGTGTTGGTGAAAAAATATTTGGTGGTTCGAGACACCACAATCACCAAATGTTATGCCCATGATGTTTCCCATCACTCAACATAAATCGTGAATTTCATTCCATTCACTAATATCACAATACCCGAACAACCACCAAATAACTTCTCTATGGTGGGTTTGCTTTCATCGTCTCTAGTTTTGAAATATTGTGCATGTCGACATCACTCCTTGACAAAAACTGCCTCGGACCCACCAAATCTCATCTCGCCCCTCACCTCCAATTTTGACAACTGAAAGCTGATTCAATCACAACCCTCCATTCTGTAGAGAGGTGCTTGGTATAATTGTGGGTTGGGTTGTGAGGTGGTGATTTTGGGTGTAGCCGTCTGATTAGCCACATTAATATTTGTCTTCACGACGGTGCCCTACAAGTGAAAGAGCTTCGAAAAAGTGACCGAGAAAAAGGATGCGGAGCTTCTAGTTGATTTCAAAGGTATATGAAATCACACGTATGATTATTTTATTTAATTATTATTATTTATGTCAAAAAATTATACTTACTTTTTAAATTTAATAATATGATATTTTATTAAAATATTTAAATTATTTCTCTTTCATTTATGGTCTAATTATTAATCAATTATCTTATTGATAAATGAGATTTTTTTTAAGGTCCTTGTATTAAGGTTTTATAGTATAAAGGACACTCAATATTTTCATGATGTCTAAGGTCCCTCAACATCTATCCAGAGAAAATTCGATCCAGAGAATTTCTCTGGACAAATCACAAAGAAAATTTCAAATTTCTCTGGACACATCACAGAGAAATTTCAAATTTCTCTAGAGGGACACATCACAGAGAAAATTTCAAATTTCTCACTACCCTATGAGAACCAGATACATTCATAAGGATTTTAGGCAGTCAGTTGGAACTATCAAGTGCATATTGATTGGACTAAACAATAAAAATGTGAAATACTTGTGACGTAGTTTGGTTGGAGGCTCCAACAACTACAATCAAAGATGAACCCCATTAATACTTGGATCATGGCCAAAATATGAAAGAATCAGATTTGAAGACTGGATTCTGCAAAATCCAGCAAACAAGCTCAAATCTCACGAACTATGGGGCATAAAATAAAGTCTTAGGAAGTAGCAAAGCAATGCTAAAACAAAATACCAAAATCTGATATTTCAATTTCTCAAAAACCTCTCCAAAACAAAGATTGCAACCCTACATATAATAGCTAAGGAGGTTACTTCATGATGAAGCACCTAGGAATAGAAAAACTACAAAATAAAAATACGACTACGAGTGGCAATACTTCACATCTTCCTACCTAGTGCAATGCGTGTTGAATCAAACTAGTAACAGAAAAAAAAAGAACAAACCATTAAAACAAGCCTCTTAGAAATTTCCATCCATTACAAGCCTACTTTTTTAATTTTAAAATGACTAATGAAGCAGAATAAGTTTTAAACTTTGACTGCAAGACAGGTTACATCCTCACAAGAGATAACTACTGTGGGGCATGCTCAAGAAGATATGTCTGTGTACATATATAGTCTGCAAATGGCATGAAAGATGAAGCCTATTATCATACCCCACCAATATCTGGTCCACCACGTTTGCTACCAATAGCATCTATCTCATCAATGAAAATGATAGAAGGTGCAAATGATCTGGCACTAGCAAAGAAGTCCTTCACACGAGATGCAGCCACACCAACAAACATCAGAGAAAATTCTAAATTTCTCTGGACATATCACAAAGAAAATCTCACCAAATGAATTTCTATGGATTCAACCCAGAGAAATTTCCCTCTCCACTCCAGAGAAATTTACTCAACCCTAGAGAAAATCTCCTCTAACCAAAAAAATTCACTTGTGTTGTCTGCAATTTAATGACTTCAGTGATTTGATCCAACATCATTCTTATACTACAAAAAAAGACGTGATCCAATAACTATATTTATGTCTATATTCATAATGAATTCAACATACAAAGCAATCCTTGGAATTTCTCTGGATTCAAGACCTTGAACATTCAAATTTCTCTATACTAATTTCTCTGGACTAACATCAAATTTCTTTGGATCTTTGGACTTAACATCAAAAACCCTTAAACCTTTTTCAAATTTCTCTGGACTAACATTCAAATTTATTACTTTTTTGAGGTGTTCGCGTGCTGTGTCCCCTTTTTCGCCCTCGTCTTTGTTAATTACCTTCCTTAGGCCTCCTTTTGCACCGGCTAATGCTAGTTCTCGCCTTACAAGACTCTGTTTTTATTCATTATGGTCAGTTAAAAGGTGAAAATTTGAAATGAGAAAATTCAAAATTCAAAAAAAGAAGATTAATTAATTTGAATTATTTGAGCAAAACAACTATTGAAATTGTATTTAGCACAGTAAGATTCTTATTCCAACTAATGTATTTGTGAACATGTTGGTGAAGCTTGCTACCTTATTTTCTTTTCTTTTCTCAGATTATGATGGTGAAAATCCCCTAAGAAAGAAGCTGGTGTACGAAAAGCATTTGTGCATTACAAAAAAAAAAACACATATTGTATCAATGTTAAACTGAATCAAATCTGTGTTTGACATACCTTCAATGTTGAGAATTGATGAGTGCACGTTGCAATGTCGAGGGCTGTCAAGTTCTCCGCATTATATGCAGACTTATCCACCCTCGGGTCAATAATAAGTGACCGAATATAGCAGCCCCAAGTCGCCAAGAGATGCAGAGGCGTGTTCCCATTGACATCCTTCTCATTTATGAGGCTGCCAAATAAGGGATTCTTTAACATTAACCCCACAGAGCCGGCTTCGTTGTTTTCCACAGCAACATGAAGAGCATTCTGTCCTCTGCCATCGACAAGCTCACAGCAATCGGGACACTGGGAAACGAGCTCTTGCATTGACTCTGTGTGACCTCGACTAGCTGCAATGTGGAGAGCTGTCTTGCCTTCTTTGTTTGGGGTGTATGCTGCTGATTTTTCCTGTCTTAGTAGCAGTCTGACCATCTTGACATGGTTGAAGTGTGCAGCGTAGTGAAGCGGTGTCCATCCATCTTCATCAGCTATTTCGGTTAGAAATTTCTTTTTTTCCAATATTTTTAATGTCATTCCTGCCATAAAAACAATAAATTTGACAGAAATGTTAGGCTAAATGACCTTCTGATCGAAAAAGGGAAACATAATTGGTTGCAGGATTAGTTTTGCTATGATGGAGAAAATTATCAGCTTAAATTTTTGACCCAAAAAGCTGAATCCATACTTTTGGCATTATCACTAAATTTATCAGCTTAAATTTTGCAACCAAAATTTCTCTGTTTATACTTTTTGGCATTTTCACCAAATTTGTCATGTTAAATTTTGCAATCAAAATCAACAAATTCATACTTTTAGCATTTTCACAAAATTCATCCTAATCAAAGGCAGTTGATGATAGGGATTGCAACAGGATGAAATGGAGACGGGTTTGTAGTGCCTGCCTCAAACCATATCATTGTCAGGGAAAATTAGGGCAGGGCAGTACAAACCCAACTTTGGTTAACTTGATCAAAAGATGGCAATAATGATGTGGGTGGTAGTGGAGGTGGTAGGTGGAGTGGATGGTATGTTTACATTTTACAATTTACATTTTACATTAACATCTACCTTTGTCGTTGCGAATCACAGCTGCATGCAAGGCGGTTCTCCCCATGGGCCCACCATGAGCCGGGGAACTCCCCTTGTCCAAAATCACAAACACCAACTCCCTAAGCCCCCCCTCCACGGCCAAGTAAAGCGGGCTTTCCCCAGCCCGGTTGCCATAGTACTCGAACTCCGGATCTTCCCTCACCAACAACTCCCCCACCTTCACCCACCCGTTCCTCGCGGCCATATGCAACGCAGTGTCCTTCTCCTCATTCACCATCCTCACCATTTCCTCCACCACTCCAACCCCGCTCTCCATATCGTTCCCCTGAGTCCTTGCGCACTCAATCAGGGCCACGACTATGTCAGCATAGCCTTTCTTGGCAGCAATATGGAGCGGAGTTTCGCCTTTCTTATTCACCGTCTTCAAAAGGGCCGTGCACGTAGACAGAACATGTTCAACGCATTGGGATCGGCCATAGAGGGATGCAATGTGGAGGACAGTGTTGCTGGTTGGTGTTGATTGGCATTCAAGTTGATTGCATTGCTTGAGGATGTGGACATGGCCATCCATGGCGGCTTTGAATAGCTTCCTATCCATATGAGTGGTCTAAAGACTAGTCTAGACTAGAGACGATCTCTTTGGTGTGGCCTAATTTAATATAAATACAAGGTCTATGATGTCATGCCTTTGATTGACTGAATTGGGTTATGGTCAATTTTGAAGAGTATATTGGCATCAGAACCAGGAAACTGCATGGTGGTGGTCCTCTTCCTCCTCAGACCGCAGACAGTTGTGGGGGAAGAGTGTTTTTGCTGAGATGCTTCCTCGTAATTCACTTCTATAAGTAGGCCAATATTTTAGATGCATACGGTTGTTTAAATAGGGCATAGGGTTGTTTGGTCATAGTCTTTTCGGGTGCAGTTGGTGGTTGGGATTAGGATTTTATGCTATAATTACTTCGAAATAATCTTTGTTATTAATAATGATTGTATTTTGTGCTTAGACACCTTACTTAAATGGCAGTGGTGCTAGGGACCCCCAGTGGGGGGCACCCCCAGCACCCCCAGTAAGCAAAAAAATTTTTTTTTTTTTTTTTTTTCTTTTCCTTCCAATCACCCAATGCCACGTGGCATTGGGGGTCACTGGGGGTCGGTTTTAGTGGGGGTCTAAGGCATTTTTCAGAGTAAAATTTGAAAGATTTTTTTGATTCCTTTTAACTTTTTTGGACCAAGAGATTCATTCAACTTCGTTATAGGAAAGTCAGTCTTGGTTTAAAAGTCTTTTGAATTAATTTTTGGACTATTGAGTTTGGGACGTGATGCAATTAGAATTGTGATTACCGCTTTTACAATCAATCGACCGACCATTTAACGGGCGGACCAATCGCTCGATGCCCATTTCTTTAAAATATGTTATGTTGGGTCGGTCGACGGAGTAATTTGTAATTTTGTGTTCTTACAAGATAGTAAATTAGTTGCTTAAATTAGATTTCGTTATTGTTACTTTATCTATGCGTGATCTAACAGATATTGACTTGCAATTCGCAGTGGATATACAAGTCACATAATAAGCAAATTCATAGTAAAACAAATTCAAAAGCATTGGCTTCTCCGGTGAGAATACGAGGCTATTATAGATGATAATAAAGGCAGTAATACTAATAATAGTCAAACAAAACTCTTAGCAAAAGCCCTGAGAATTTTGCTATATCGAGAACGAACAAAAACAAAAACCAGCAGCGCAGAATATAATATCCCTAGGAAGGATTTCACATTACGCAACGAAATTGAAATTTGAAAAAAATCTTGATGCACTTGTTTTTGTTACCCACTTGACGATGAATGATAGAATAGAATCGAGTGTATTTAGATTAGCGGCGTAAAGACAGGTGTTATCAGCTTGAGGAAATCAACCTACTTTCATATACATTTTGCAGCATATATATACACATACAGGATAACAACTATTTGTTTGAAATCCTAAAATGTAGAACAGTTTGAAACTGTTTCCTAACTCTAAGGTACAAGTGTTTCAAATGAATTCAAAATAGAGAAACTTAAGGACTATTACAACCTGTTACAATCCTATGACATGCCCCCTCAAGATGGAGCGCGGGAGAGAAGTCCAATCTTGGATTTTAGATCAAGAAAACGAATACGGTGAAGAGGTTTAGTCAGGGCATCGGCAAGTTGATCTGCGGAGGATACATGAGCAACCCGAAGGACACCATTTTGTACTTGGTCTCTGATGAAGTGATAATCGATGGCAACATGTTTCATTCGAGAGTGGAACACAGGATTGGAACAGAGTTGGGTAGCACCAACATTATCACAATATAAAACGGGATAGCAAGGTAGTTGAACACCAAGATTAGTGAGAAGATAGCGAAGCCAGTTGAGCTCAGCGGCCGCATTAGCGACTAACCGGTATTCCGCTTCAGTGGAAGATCGTGCAACAGTTTTCTGTTTCTTAGAACTCCAGGAGACTGGATTACAACCAAGATAGATAACGTAAGCACTGGTTGATGAAAAATCATTCTTGTCACCTGCCCAATCGGCGTCGGCATAGGCGTGTAAAGTCAATGGGGACCGGCGATGTAGTTGGAGGCCGTCATTAATAGTTCCACATAGATAGCGTAAGAGACGTTTAACAAAGTTCCAATGATCGGTTGTTGGAGTGTGCATGTACTGGGAGAGCTTGTTAACCGCAAAGGCAAGATCTGGTCTGGTAATCAAGAGATATTGAAGGCTGCCAACAACTGTTCTGTACTCGGTAGGATCAGACAAAGCAGAGCCTGATTTGAACAAAGGTGGACTAGTTAGAATGGAAGTGAGCACAGGTTTGGCATCAGTCATATGAGTTCTGGCTAGAATATCCAAAATGTAACGCCTTTGAGATAATAAAATCCATTGCTGATTTGGGACGACCTCCACACCCAAAAAATAGGAAAGTTGGCCAAGATCCTTAATTCAAAACCGATGAGCAAGAACATCAACAAATGAGTTGATCATCTGAGTGTTGTCTCCAGTGATGATTAAGTCATCCACATAGACAAGGATATACAATCTATGACCAGCAGCAGTGAGAACAAAGAGTGAAGTATCTGCATGAGAATTTTTGAAGCCGGAGGTAAGAAGGAAAGTTCGAAGTTCATGATACCAGGCTCTCGGTGCTTGTTTGAGGCCATAGATGGCCTTTTGAAGTTTGCAGACATAAGATGGATGATCTTGATCAACAAAACCTGTGGGTTGTTGCATGTAGACATTCTCAGAGAGGTGGCCTTGTAGAAAGGCGTTGTTAACATCCAGTTGACGTAAGGACCAACCTCGAGATACGGTAAGATTGAAGATAACACAGACTGTCGTTGGTTTGACAACAGGGCTGAAAGTGTCTAGATAATCGACGCCGGGTCTTTGATGAAATCCTTTTGCGACCAAACGGGCTTTGAACCTGTCAACAGAGCCATCAGAGTTACGTTCAATTCGAAAAATCCATTTGCACCCAACTATATTCATGGTATAATCAGTTGGGACAAGTTCCCATGTGCCGTTTCGAACTAAAGCATCACACTCATCAGACATGGCTGTACGCCAGCGTGGATCTTTAAGGGCAGTAGTCACAATAGTTGGTTCAAGGTCATCGGATTTGGAGAGTTGGGTATGAAGGTTCATTTTAGTGATAGGTTTATGAATGTGGTTCTTTGCTCGGGTGGTCATTGGGTGAGTTCGAAAGGGATGAATTGCAGGTGGGTTAGGAGGAGGCGACTCTAGGATATGTAGTGATGGAACGATTGAGGGTGTGAATGAAGGTGAGTGTGAGTGGGTGGTCTGGTTTGTGGTAGTAGATGGAACTGGTACTGGAGTGTGTGTTGGAGCTGCACTTTGAGGTTGTTGAGAGACGATGACGTCAGATGGTGTATTGAGTGGCGGCTGGGAAGAGGGTACGAGAACTGGAATTGGGGCAGGAATCCAAGTGGCGATGAGGTTGGGGAGAGGACTAGAGGACGGTCTAGACAGTGAAGAGTATGGAAAGTGGGATTCAACAAATTTGACATGTCTTGAGACATAGATTTTTGAGGTGGAAGGGTCAAGACAGTAGTATGCACTTTGAGTGAGAGAGTAGCCAAGGAAAACACACGGCTTGGACCGTGATTCAAGCTTGTGTGAGGTGTAAGGTCTGAGCCAAGGGTAGCATAAGCAACCAAAGACCCTTAATTTGGAGTAGTTGGGGGCTGTCAGAAAGATTTTGTGGTAGGGTGAGGAGAGATTTAAAGTGGGAGTGGGCATTCTATTGATAAGGTAGACTGCTATAGCAAAGGCATAAGTCCATTAAGAGAGGGGTAAAGAAGCATGAGTGAGGAGAGCTAGACCGGTTTCGACGATATGAAGGTGTCGTCTTTCAGAGTAACCATTGTGTTCAGGTGTATGAGGGGGAGTGGTGAGATGTGATATACCATTGGTGGAAAGAAAATTAGCTAGGGAAAGGTATTCACCACCGTTGTCTAAATAGAGTGTTTTGATGGTGGAAGTGAAGTGTTTTTCCACAATGGCTTTGAATCGTATGAAGACTTCTTTGACATCAGATTTGTTTTTGAGTGGGTAAAATCAAATATATTTACTGAAATGATCAATGAAGATTTCATAATATTTAAAGCCATTATGTGAGTAAATGGGAGAGGTCCAGACATCAGAGAATATGACTTCAAGAGGTTTAGTAGTGACAATAGTAGAATTGGAGAAAGACAATTTGTGGCTTTTATTGCAAAGACAAGCATTACAGGAAAATCAGAAGATAAAGACGAAGATAAGCCTAAGGCATTGCTAGAAACAATATGCTTGAGAATTGGAAAAGCTGGATGTCCTAAGCGATGGTGCCAGTCAATGGTTGTTGTCTTGATGGTGGAGAAGGCAAGTAAAGGGGAGGAGGTTGGCCACTCATATACGCCATCTTTAGTCTATCCTTGCAGCAGTGTGGCCCCCGTGTGAAGTTCCTTCACAAGAAAAGTGGATGGTAAGAACTCAACGGAAACATTGTTAGAAGTGCAAAATTGTGAAATAGAGATTAGGTTCTTTTTCATAGATGGAACACACAGAACATTGTTTAATGTAAAGTTTTGGTGAGGAGTTTTGAGAGAGGTGGAACCAGTGTGGGTGATGGCAAGATTGGAGCCATCACCGATCATGATGTCATCAGTGCCAACGTAGGGAGCATGCAATGAGAGGTTGTTGAGATCAGATGTGACATGGTGTGATGCACCACTGTCCAAAAGCCAGGATGGCATGGTGGAAGGTTGGGTGGCAAGATGAGCTTGTGGTTGCCAGGGTGTGCCTTGTGGAGAAGAGCGGGATGTGGGGAAAGACTGAACTGGTACAAGACGAAATGAAGGACACCGTTTGGCAGTGTGACCCTGAAGCCTGCAAATTTGGCAGTGACCAAGGTATGGCCTCTGTGGAGGACGTGGGCCCTGTGATGAATGGGGTCCTGTAGTGGTTGCAACAGATGGGTGATTGGTGAAGTTAAGGGATGGGCGCCAATTTGTGGTGGTAGTGTTTTGTGGTGGGGAAGGACGCCAATTGCGGGTGTTGGTTTTGTATGTGGGATTTGCAGTGGCTGGGAAGTGATGTGGCTCAGGTTGGATGCTGTGAAGGGAGGCTTCAAAGTTGAGGAGTTTTTCGTGAAGTTCTTCAAAAGCGATAGAGGTATCTCTAGCTTGGATAGCTCGGCCTAATTCTTTGTATTCAGCACCGAGGCCATCAAGGATTTTGTCTGTGATTACTTCTTCATCCATTGGAGCGCCAAGAAGAGCAAGGTCATCAGCTCGAGTTTTGATGGTTTGCATAAACTCAGTGATGCTAAGGGAGCCTTTGGTGGTATTTTTGATTTGGGTTTTGATTTGTTTGATGCGGCCTCGAGAGGGTTTA